ATGGATTTCTTCAAACATAGAAGAACTCAATTCGTCAGAAATCAGTTCACAGAAAATTCAATAGTGAGCTATTGTAGAAAGCATGATCAATTAAAAGAACAACATATTTACAGTTCTCATTCTATTAGAGAAAAGAAACAAGAGATATTATTATTGATCGTAATAGAACCCTATATTATTTATATTTCATTATGATTCCTTTTTTTATTAATGCACTTATTCATAATGTTCTATGGCGTATGCAGATATAGGTTTATATATAAATACTTCTTTAATAACAGATTCTATTTTTCTGTGATCTTGTAGGTAATTATAAGCTTGACTATAATCAACATCAAGAAGTTAGTTTAAAAATTTCAGGCTTTCTAATGGATTTAACATACGAAACACTCTATTGGGGTGGAAATTTTATCAGGAATAAATTACTAGAAGAAATCGTAACGTTTTTCGAAGTTAGAAAGGCAGCTTCTTATTCTGCTTTTTTATTGTACAACATTTTTTTAAAATAATTCTATATTTCAGATGGATTTTCTTCTTCCAGCTAATGCACTATCGCTTCGTGGAGATTCTTTCTACTACTTGGTAGAAGATTTTTGTGGTAAAGAGGCCGTCGAATTACTTAAATTTCAGCTGATCGATTCTTCAATGGATTTGATTGAAGTCGATGATATCTTCTTCATTCTTCAAATCGAATCAACTCAAACAACATCAATCAAAGAATTTTTGAGTATTCCAAGCAAAAACAATTTAGGAAACTATTCATTTTTTGTTATGCCTGGTATTCGCGTGAAACTCGAAAAATTTATTCGTTCGCTGCGTGCTCTTCTTTCATCTACTGATCCTTCATCGTCGGTAAACATCAAGCCTTTAACAATTTCATCTGAACTTCTTCAGCAATATCCGTTCTTATTAGATCTAATATATTGTCTAGAAAGGCATTTATTAACAGATTTTTGATTGGATTTTATATCAAATATGTTATCAAACATCATATGTTCAAAAAATGCCTTTCGCTATGAACAATCGGTGAAAAAATTCGCTGCTTCCCTATACATTATAGGAGGCCGTACGGTTTATGAATTCATTCGGTTGAATATTCCAGGATCGATTCCTAGTTTTAGTATTTTACGATCAATTTTGATAACTTCTAAAAAGCATTTCATTGAAGGTGAATTTCAATATGAACGTTTTAAGGACTTTATTGATTCATTCGACTGTAAGTACGCATTCTGTGGAGAAGACAGTACTGCGGTGGTACCAAAAGTTTCTTATGACTCACATTCGAACTCTTTTGTTGGGTTTACACTTCCTCTGAAAGACGGTTTTCCTTGTCCACGCTACTTTTCTACCAGTTCATTTGGTGAACTTGAAACTTGATATGAAGAAATAGACAAATCATCTCTTGTCAATGTACATGTGATTCAACCAATATGTCCTATCGGTCAAATATCACCACCGCCATTCCTTCTTGCTGCTTACGGTACCAACAGTAAATATACAGCGAACGATGTTCTCGACCGATGGTCAAGTATTTTTGATTCATGTATGAATCAAAATATTCGAATTTTAGACTTCTCAGCAGATTGTGATCCAAAACAAATGAAAGCAATGCGGGACTCCATGGGATTTGAAGAACATCCTAATCGTTTCGAAATTTCTTTACTTAAAGTGAGTGAACAAGTATAATTAGTTTCATATGAAAAAGAAAATCAATCGGAATTCGAGTAAACGATTATAATTGTACGGATTGATGATTTTCTTCATATTACTTAGAGGATAATAAATGTCTTCGGTGTCTATTTATAGGTTGACAAAGTATTTATTCTCATATAAATCTATTTTATTTCTTGAGAATTAAAAATAATACAATAATCACTTTCAATTATCGTTCTTAGAAAAAAAAATCTGAAAATATCTTTCATCAGCTATCACCTATCATTGAATTTTTCGGAAAACAATATTAGTATTCCAGTACAATAAAAACAATGTTCAAGCACATGAATTTATTCTCATTCTTGTTTTCCATTGTTTAGAAAACTTCATGGTTTTTTTTGAGATCATCACAGCTACTTGTATGTTTACAAGATGCGCCACATTTATGTACTAAGCTGTGCAACTGTCTTTTGTCTTCAGAAACAATTTTATTAATAGGGAAAAGGTATGCCAGCATTAAACATCTCGTGGAATTGATTGAGAACCATTCAAAGATCGATCATGGATTGGCCATATCAGATGTTTGCCCAAAGGACAAACAATATTATTCATCCTGCGAAAAGATCACGAGTGATGCTGTTTTTTCTTCTATTAAAAATGTTTCGAATTCTCAAGCCACTCAAGCTTATCTACAAGTAATATTTTTTGCTTTTTCTAAGTATGGAGTCGTTAGATATGATATAATCGAGGTAGTTCTATTTCAAAATATTATGTATGACATAACGAAAGTTGTTTAAAAGTTTTCGCTACCTCATTACTGAGTACTGCTGAACGGTCAAATCTTATTAATTTCATTTTGATAGGTCATAAAATGTGTCCGTTTGGCCTTTATCGACAAAAGCACTAATATAATTGATCGTCTTTACTATGCTTGGTGTTCAGTTTTTATTATATGGATCTGATATGCGTGGTTACACGAGACAGCGGCTGATGAACTTAAGGAAAGAGCTTCGAATTTGCTCTCAAGTGACGCTGGTCGAATTATTCCAAAAAGAACTTCTTTATCATAGTACCTGCTCTTTTCTCACTCGAACTGAATGCACATAGCCTGACGTATCTCGTTGTTCTGTGGGCTGAACAGAAAATTAATGAAGAAGCATTCAATGTTTTTTTATGTAATTCACAAGTATGCGAAAGTACTTTCCATGCAGCTCGTTCGATGTCCGGTCCATTTTCATCTGTGGTGAACTTTACTGTTCACGAGTTTCTTCAGCGTGTCGAGAAACTCGCTGTTCTTCAAAGTGTCAAGTGTTCGTCTGAATCCAAGAACAATAATATTAGATTTCTCAAACATCACAAACAATCTAAACAACATTTTCAAGTACACTCAACGTCTACAATATCAACTACGATTACAGAACAATTGATTGAAGAAACAGTTTTTTATGCTTACATTAAAGCTAGTCAGATTCTATCTCAATGTGAACTTTCTAATGTTAATCCTCATGATATGATGCAATCTTTTGAAGAAGTGAATAATTTAGCGTACAAAAGATTATCCAGATCAATATGTACAACTTCCAATAAAAATTCTTCTGAATCATATGATTATGAAGACGACAATGAGGGCGATGGTGAAGATCAGGATGCAGATGAAGAGGAAAACGAAAATGATGATAATGAAAAACATCAACCTAACAAGGAATCTATTGAGAATGGTATCATGAATGAAAATAATGAACTAACGTCAATGGATGAATTTGGTCTTGATTGTCTTCCAAATGTATCTAGTTCCACCATTCGGGGGATGCGTTTATTCGATTCTGTCAATAGTAATCAATCAGACTCTTTCTTTTCCGTTGAACTCAATGGTCGTATCAAATATATGCACAAACAGACTGCAAACTGATGCTTTTCAAAAACAAAACCTATCTTGTCTTCTGATCGGTTGAAAAGGATACAACAGATAATATAACTTTTTTTCTTCTATTGTTTTTCAATATCATTTTGCAATATAAGAAAAAAATCATAAATTATCTTCTTATGCAATGTTATTAGAGAATGAACTTAAGTCCAGTCCATCTCACACTATGATCGTTGAGACATTTTACTATAAGATATTCAGAGATAGCATCTCTAAAAGACATCTATGGATCAAGTTAAAGTATGATCCACTGTATCTTTATTAATTTTCTATTTTACATAATTGTTTCAGCAATGAATTTACCAAAAACCTCTTTCCGGTCTAGAGAAACACTTGATTCTAGCGAATATAGATTCGCTGTATTTAATCCCTTTATGGAAAGAGAAACAACGATCATAATCAATCCGAAATTCAGCTACTATGATGAATGATGTATATCAGTTAACATCACTCGAGTTGATTCAAACTCAGCTAAACTCACCTAAACTCATTTTAAATCCCAAACTGACAGTTTGTCGATTCCCCCTTGATCACGAAGCAGCACTCATCCGTGACACAAGAGTGAAAACGCTTCATACTCCTTGAAAATTCTGCTAAAAGTCCTTATGCTTACTAGCATATCAACTGACACTGTCGTTTTTCAGAGCGTCCACTACAAAAACATGAGTTCAGCTGAACTTCTAGCTCCAAATAAATTATACTAGATCTGATATGTAATCGGAATATGTCACATTAGTGACGCTCCTACTGAAAGTATCTATCAGATTAGACAGCTAATTTGAATATACTTGAATACATTCGAGCACGTGAATGAACACAGACAAGGACATATATCAAACAGAAAAATTCATTTTATTTCATTCAATTTTGCTTCCGATAGAGTGAATATAAACTCTTTGAGTGATGCTTTCCGTTCAAGGTACTTTTCAAATATTATGCCCGTACAGAAAAACTATATTCATACGTTATTTGAAAAGATTTCTCAACTTTTTGCCACTTCTAATCCCTACTGAAACCCATCAGATGTAGACTTTTGACATTTTTCCAATGAATTCTAACAACTTGACGGATTGTTTTCACGGGATTTTCTAGCGCAATGGCTAGTCACTCGTCGGCTACCAACTGCCATGTTTAATTCTTTTTCTCCATAAGACCATCCTTTTTTTTAATTTACATTCCATCTGTTCGCAGAATGCGCTTACTTCGAAATACCATTAGATTTGTAACATGAGAATTCTTGACGAGAATTTCTAAAGCGAAGTTTTCTTGTGAACTATTCTTTATTTCTTCAATTTTATTGTCTAGCTAGAAAATTAGAGTTTTATTGGAATTTCTCATCAATGAAAAACCTTAGTGTAGTATTCTTTAGAAAAAAGTCTACTTTTTAGACAGATATTTGTTAAAGTGAATCCACAGTGCACGTAAGCAATGAATTGTTTATTATCTATTTAACATGAAAAAAAAGAGATGATCTCATTTATACATATTTATCTTTTTATATTACTTTCTTCAAATTATAGCGGTTAGACATTTCACGATTTGGAACTCTTCAAAAAAAAAATATATGAATAATTGAATACTTCGCCAGAAAGCAAAGATAACGCAGAGTAGACTTACATACCGATCATGTTGGATTGACTAAAACTAAGCTGTGAGTTTGAGAAGTACCTGTTGGTTTTGATGTGAATACGAATGGGACAAGGAGAAATCGACTGATTTAAATCACTGTAACTCAGTGTAAATCATTTAAGATCACCAGTTTTTATCCGAAAAAGAAAAAAAATTGTTACAGTCGCAAGACAGCTACTATATACTCTTTAAAAAATCGATTTATTACCGAACTTGTCTCCAGGGTGAAGAACCTTTGGGGTTTTGTATCGATTTTCTGAACCTAAAAAGAAAGCTCGGATCTTGATCTGCTGAACCGTTTTAGATTCCTCAAATCGGTACGAAAACTCAAAGTTCTTTTTTTTACTATGTAACTTGATATTTTTCAAAAATTCATATCCAGGATTTTTCAATTGATTTAACTAGAGTAAAAAAAAGTCATCCTAGTATATAGTTATCGAATATTTTTTCTTGGATCTTCGAGTGTCACATATATTTCTTCCTTTCTCAATTAACTAATACGTAAAGTGATTTGATAAACAATAACATATTCTAAACGAATAATGTTTTTGTTCTTATTAGATAGATTTGATTGCAAGGGAAGAACTCGGTTCTGTCCTTTTTTGGGATCGATTATTTTCATCTGATCATCATTTAGCTATAATTAGGAGTAGCTGGTAAAAGTCAAAGAAGGGAGGTGATATTTTCAAAATCAGGAGAAAAGTTTAAATAAACGTAGAAACAATTCGAAGCAGTCAAAGTTAAATACAAGAAGTACTGAACAGGTTTTTTGGGCTAAGAAAATCACAGACGACTACTCATATCGATTGTTTTTTTTTAATAATAGTTGAGCATTTAGACAAGTTTACAAAGTTTTAGAAAAGTGGAAACTATTTGATGCATGGAAAATGAAGTTATCAGTGGCCAACCACAAATAAAAATATAGCATAGATTTCTTTTATTTCATGTGGCAAGCATGAAGAAAACGGTGTTTTGGCACTGAAAAGAATGTCACTATTGAAGTTTTTCGCTTTCGTCAATGAAAAATGACATAGTCATACAGAATATTTCATTTATTTAATTTATAATCAAAAGGAAGGTATTATTCTGATGGAAATCATCTTTTTTTCATAGATGAAATCGTAAGTCTCAACACATAACTTACATTTCATCATGTTACTCGAGCAGCGTGGGATACTAAAACTATTAATATGTTAATGTCCAGCTCTTCATAAGAGAAACAATTTTAATTTAAACTCATAAAATATTTTTCGATCTAGGTTTCTCAGACAAGAAGATCACACTCGCGTCTATCTCTAATCGAATTCGATTGTAATTAGAGTCAATCAAACATTATTAACCTAAGACATAGAGTTTTTTGAATCGAATCCAAACTCATTTAGGTATCTACAATGCCCAAGATTTTCAGCACAATCTAGGTTTTAGTTAGGAAGTCAATGCTGCCTTTGAGCGAACAGATTTTTAACTACTCTTGAATTTA